GGCCCAGGCGTAGAGGTAGTAGGCGGCCCAGGCGTTGATGAGGCGGTCCCCGCCCTAGCCGAAGCGCTGCGCCGGCGTGGGCGGTGCGCAGCGATGGCATTCGTGATGCTCGTGAGGGCGGCCGAGCATCGGCGGGAAGTTCACCGGCCGCAAGCACCTGGCGCGGTCGGGGCAGGGCTGTCCCCGGCGGTGACTGCCCGGGCACTTCACAAAGCACCAGCCGATCCACTGCGTGAAGTCGGCGGGGCGCTCTCTGGGCAGGCGGCCGCCCCTGACGTTGTCAGGCAGGGACCTGACGATCACGCCCGCCGAGACGCCCTGTGGTGGGGCGAACGCCCCAGAGGCTATGGCGTTCTCGAGTCGCTCCCCCTCCGCCCAGGTGTCGGCCGTCCACCCCTGAACGGCGAACGGGATCTCCTTGTGGCGAAGGTCCGCCCCCGGCTCGTGGAGCGGGAAGCGGAAGGCGTCCCAGGTGCTCAATCCCGGCGGCCGGCGGCTCTGATTCCTGGTGCCATAGCCCGCCCGGCCGACTCGATCAACAGGCGGGAAGGGCGATGTCGGTGGCGGAGGAACCCCGGCACATGCGGCCGCAGGGCCCGCCGACGAACCGGTACCCGCGGAGGATGCCGAAGGCGCCGCTGAAGCCATAGTCGACGAGATAGGCGCCGAGGGCGGCGCAGAGGATGCCGCTGAAGACGAGGGCTGCTGCGCCACAGCCGGCGCGGTGACCTCGGGCGGGGGGCGAGTCGGGGCCGCCCGTGCGGGAGGCGCCGTGGTCACTTCAGGCGCTGGCTGTTGACCGCCCAGCTGGGCGCCGAAAGGTTGGCCGACCTCCGTGCCGACCAAGTGCGGCGGTGGCCCCTTGGGCTTGGCCCAAGCCAAGGCCGCGTCATCCGCCGCCTGGCGCTGCTCCGCCAACTCCCTGGCGATGCTGCTCTCGATGGCGTCCTGGTAGGTGGCGCCGTCGTGCAGCAAGCGCAGGCCCGCCCGACTACGGGCCATCTGCTCCTGGCGGATGAAAGCCGCCCTGCGAAGGTACTCGTCGGATGGGGCCGGAGCCCCTCCAACCACCTCGGGCGTCTCAGCCGCCGCCCCACCGGACGAGGACGATGCCGCCGTCCTGCTTGGGAACCGGCGGGCTCTGAATCGCCGCCGGAGGGCCCACAGGCTTCTGCTCGACGACCTGGCCCTGGTCGTCGAACCGTGGCGGGACCTTCGCCCCGGCGGGGGGCCTCTTCACCGTAGGCTTGGGCTTGGTCGGCGTGTCGTCCAGGAACTTGATGGGCCTGTCGGGGTAGGGCATGGGCGGTGCCTTAGTCGACGATGTGGCCTTGGGCTCATCGACGACAAGCGCCGGAGGCGGCGCCTTCTTGAAAGGCTTCTTGGGCCCTGGCCCGGGCGCCGACGACGATGACGCCCCTGACGCAGGCAGACCGCACGATGTCTTCGCCTTCGCGGCCGCGTCCTGCTCGTCGAGGAAGAGTTCCAACGACGTGGGCGGCTCGGCGTCGAGGTCATCGTCTGGGACCGGCTTGGCGGCCGCCATCTCCGCCACAGCTGTGGCGTCCTGTTCCTCCCAAAAGGTCCTGGCGGTCGCTGGCGAAGGCCCAGGGTCCACTACGCCCGTGGGCGCCGGCGTCGTCACAGGCGTGAAGTCGAGGAGGTCCAGCGTAGGCACCGACGATGAAGAGGGGTCCCCCGCCCCTCCAGTCGGAGCCACATCGACCAAGGGCTGCTCCTCAGCCAGCCTAAGCGCCCCGACGAGACGACGACGATCATCACGTGACAGGGCACGGATGGCAGCCGCCAAAGCCTCCTGGGTAGTGTCGCCCACGAAGGACGAGAAGATCACCTCGCCAGAGGTCTGGACGGCGACGTCGTGGGCGTCAAAGGCGATGATCGGCGCAAAGTGCTCCGTCTGGGCCTCCCCGTCGATGACGTCTGCGCCCGGGAAGGGCTGGGCCCCGACGATGTCCCCCAGCAACTCTTCCTCCTCGTCACTGGAGGGCGGGACGCCCATGAAAGGCGGTGCCACGTCATCGTCGGCACCGGCATTAGCCGTGGCGCCCGTCGAGGGCAACCCGGCGACATCCCCAGCCGATGCGCCCGACGCGGGCTGACCGGCGTTCTCTCCAAACTCGCCCGTCGCGGGCGCCGCCAAAGATGACGATGCCGTAGGCGCCCCCGGCGAAGTAGGTGGCGTCACCAGATCGACCACCACGTCGTCGAAGAAGGCACCAGGCGCAGCGGCACCGGACGAAGCCATATCGGCAATGAGAGGCGGAGGAGAGAGAGGGGAATTCGAAAAGGTCGAGCCCAGACGCTTCGGGGCTCGACCGCTAGAGCTTGTACCTACACACACAAGTGTGTTACACAACATTGTGACACTCCAGGAAGGGACAAACTCATATTGGACGCGCCACGCTGCCACGGCTCAGCATGAGAAACGGGTCCCCAAGCAAACCCTGCACAACTCCAGTCGCGCGATGGATAGAGGAAGGGAATATCGAGCTAGAGTCAAGAACCAAGCTTAGAAACTGAATTCCAGCTACACTTCTTCATGTTGCAGCATCCGATCTACGAACGGAGTAAAGTCGTTCCTTCAAGGTGCAGCCCTTCATTCCGCTGCTTGCAATCACCACACCCATGGTTCCTGCGCGCCTTCTGCGAATCCGAATCTTTTTGCTAACTTTCTGCAACACACGGGAGACTAGAGCACAACTTCTTGCGATGATCGCCGAGTCTACAGTACTTGGGACGACACGACGCTGAAGGGTGGGCTTGAACGTGATTTCATGTTTGACTGCGCTTGGCAGGCCTCAGAGTACTCAGAGCCTACAGGTGGTGTCACCAACCCCAGCATGCAGCACTCATCTGGACCAGCCGGGCGGAAGCATCCTTGTAATCCGTCGGCATCGTATTGGGAGAGACATGACGAGACGAGAAGCGGCAGGGACAGCTTTATGTTGAACACAGCCGCAGATGGGGCGACTGAGAGGTACCTCTATAGCCGTGAAGCTTGGAAGCTGCCTAAGATCGTTCTAACAGAAACATGGCTCTGGATGGACATACAAGCACCAGCACATTAGCAATACTGGCATACATACTACATCAGTGTTAATAAGCAGTATTGTACATGCAGCAGTCATATTATGCGTGTACAAATACACTGAACAAGTGTGCACATGTGCAAATACACGCAGGTAAAACTCTAACAAGTGGGGCTCCTGCTTCTGCATCCAGCAACATGCCGACAGCCAGCTGCTTGTCTGTCCTACCTCCGGCATTCCGATCTTCATGGGAGGCAACAACGAATCAACATGCGCCCGGACATGAAGCTGAGCAGCTGACATCAATCTCCTTGTGCAGCGTCAGGTTCGGATGCCAAACCTCTCATTGTTCAAAAATGAAGGCTGTGACATGAGCCAGTGTGCACGCAGCCAGTCTACACAAGCAAAGTGAGTCCATCAAGCAGTGAACCCCGAGCGCAAGCCCTTGCTTGGTCCAAGCGAATCCAATGGGTTGAAATTGTCGAGCTGGCGGGGCACCTTAACAAATCCGTCCCGTCCAGCAGTGATGTACCTGGTGCAGAACAGGATCGGAGGGACAGCTCCCCTGCAGTGCGGCCAGAGCTTATGCGACGGCAAGCCTTGCATGTCCCGAAGGCTAGCAGCTATATGACGGATGCGGCCGACTTGGTGTTGCAGACACTGACACTACCTCCACTGCTGTGCAGCACTACCACCACCATCCGCAGCACCGCCGGCACCACGACGCTGCTACTGCTCCTCCGACGCCTAGCGGCCTGTCCGACTCCGCTCCTACCGCTGTGCGCTTCGAGCTCGCCTCCGGGCATGGCCAGCCGGAGCGCTGCTCGTCGCCTCACTGCAAGGGTTTAGGGCCTTTAGGGCAGTTTAGGGCTCAGGGCCGGAGCTGGTCTGGGGAAGCTGCCGCGGTTCTTTCTGAGGCTTGCACATTGCCATTATCCTGTTTGTTGGCGAAATCAGAGACGACCGCGATGTTGTTGATCATGTCCTGCATCTGTTCTACGAGCATGGAGGATGCATGAAAGGTGACTTCGAATCTCGCGCTTCGTGAATGTAGCGGTCCATGTGGCCACACTGCCAGGCGCCCGCCAACGCTTCGGCTGCAGCGTTGTGGGTCGGCCTCACTCGCTCTCGGACTCTCTGCAGGCTCCCCCTGCTGCATGCCATTCATGGAACAGCTTCCCGGCGGGGGCCAACAGCATGCACGTAAGGGGCATTAGGCTCTTCCAAAATCTGTCCTCGGGCAATGGCTCGCAAGCGCCATCTGAAGAGTTGAAGCCCGGAGCATGGAAGAGCATGTAGTTCGTGAACTCCTGCGGAGTGGCGCTGCGGATCAGGATCTTTGTGGCAAGCAACACTTTGCATCAGCCTTTAAACGACTCAAGATTACTCGTTTGCTTGCGCTAGCCGCTAGCACCGAATCTGCGCAAGAGCCGTAAGCCGAAGCCACGAGCCGGAGGCCTCCCAGGTTACGCTTTGGGAGCAACTGGCATCGATCTTCTTGAACAAGGTCCGGAGCTCTCCCTCCCACCGCCGCCGCCTCTCATTGAGCCAGATCGACTATCACGCGGAGGCGCCCAGAAGCCAACGAGGCAGCGACTCGGCTTGTGATGTTGACATGGAGCCCGTCAGCCGGGAGAGCAGTGCATCAACAAACTGCCTCAAATATTGCAAAGAGGAAACACTACACCGAGGCTTTGCAAATCAGTGGCCGGGCACCACATCGACTCGGGCGCAGACTCTTCGTCCAGCTTGACTGGCTGACCTTCCTCATCCTGAAACTGGTCCTGTCACATGGAAAGGCCACCAACTCAAACCCTGCGGGGCTTACTCTACGCAGGTCCTTCAATCTTCGGAGCTCCTTCAGTGGAAGGCCCATCGGGTTGCTGGACACCGCAGGCTCGAGACCATCGTTGGCCTCACATCAACATTCGTCTCGAGCTGGAACTTCGATGATGTGCTTGCTCAGCCGGGCAGAACCTCTTCCTCTGCCGTCATCTTCACAGGAAAACTACTCAGGACATTCTGTGAAAAGCTGGTGCTCTGCAGCTGGATTAACTGGGCTTCGGGGGGCCGCGCCCACATCGCGAACCGTTCGTTGCTGTGTCTTCTATGTGCTACGAGTTGCACAGGCACCATAGACGGGTGTCCTGAGTAGTTGTGATATCTACCAATCTCGCGAAAATGAGGCAGGTTAATCCGGCACTACAGTCTCCGGCCGTAGACTGATAGCATGGGACGATGAACCCCAAGCACGGGTTAGATGGATACCTGGTTCGGGGTGCAGTGGGACTCTGGTTGTTTCTCCCTGTGAGAGAAGAGGAGATGCACGGTTGAGCTTGCTGCATCGAGACATGAAGAACCCATCAAGCACGCGAGCAGCACTTGCTTCAAGATTGGATTCATGATTCAAAAAACATAGCAACTAAGTGCAAGTTGTCTGTCAGATCAACACATTGTAGTTCATCAAAGCGGGCTCTTTGTCTCACTCGGCCACAACGTGAGAATGCGAGCGTGCAACACGAAGAGGACAGCGATGCTTGCTTAATTCATGTGGCATGGTACCCACTTCAATCAGATTCAATCAGAATCTACTCGAACTCTTTTCGCACAAGCATCTTTGCCAAGCTGCACCGAGCACATCTTGCTCCGAACGCAGGGTTCAAATTCAAAAGGAAGTCCTTCAAGATGGCCGCAAACATTGCCTGTCGCTGCTGCACGCAGTGCCCATCAAAACAGTACTGAGTTCAGCTTGGGGCAAAGGCCGGTCTGAATGTGCATGTTCAACCTCTGTTTGCCGGGAACTACAATTTCAAAATCACTGAAGCCCAACTGCCACGCCTGATCATGATGTCTGACCGGGGGTGGTCTTGAACCTGGTGATCGGGAAGTTGTATCTGTCCCTGACAAAGCTCAAAACAAAATCTCCTTGTTAACATAAAGAGAAAAGCACTTACCATACACTCTAGAAGTTTGCACGCTTGCACATGTGTACATATGTATACACTTGTGGGAGTTCGGCAAGAGCAAGAGGAAAGCAGAGAAGAGGGGTGAGGAGGGGTTGTTGCTCGTTGTTTCACATAAGCAACGGCTTCCAAAAAAACTAATCTGGACACCCCAGGGGGCTGTCCTTTGTCTAATCTTGGCAACTGAGGGGTTTGCCGTGTTGATTCGCAGGTATGTGGTTCCAGCGTCCCGAAACCATATCAGCACACTTTGAAGAGCCTCGTTGTTAGATGCCCAATCTTCAGGCGTGGGACAACGCCAGTGCAACTGTAAGGGTGACCCTCTTTTCCATGCACCAAGGAAGCACGCACACAGCCCCACAAAAGTAAGGCAGGCTTCATTCAGGCTTTCGAAGGAGCATTAGACGAAAGTTACTGCACCTGCACTCATGTCAGAGTCACATGCACATGCATTCCCTTAGAAAAGAAGCGATACAAAAGGACAGAATAGTGGAGTGACATGACGGGGCCGAGGACCGGACATGATATAGCATGGTACGACATGGCATATCTATACGGCATGTGGTGAGTATGGATATATGCCGTATGATATATGATATATGATGGCTTGATGTGGTATGACGTGGTGTGATGTTAATGTGATGTGATACGATGTGGTCGGATATGATATGATATAGTGTGGTGTAGTATGATGCGGCATGGTAGGACATGGTGTGGCATGATACGACGAGAAGATGAAAAGATGTCACATGAGATGGCACACGTGAAGCGATGTGATACGAGTTGATGTGGTTTCATTTGATGTGGCAAGACGCGGTCTAACATGATATGACACGGAATGAAAGATATGATATGACATGACTTTGCATGACATGCCATGGCTTGATGGTCACCCTCACCCCCAAAATTCCTCAACTGAGCGTTTTAGCAGGAAAGCAGAGGGCACCAGATATTTTCGAAGATGCGCCGCCGAAACCATCAGAAACTACTGTAACAAAACACTAAGTCACTGCACCAGCAGTTTCAATTCGTTGTATTTGCTCGTCCTCGACTTGGCTCTGCCCGCACTCTGCCCTCTCACCAGATCGGTTTTCGGCTGTCCATCCGTGTTTGCGTTATTCGCCATGCAAGCTCGAGATGAAGCTGAGCGCAGAAAGCCCTACAGTGCATGCCGATCGACTGCTTAAGATCTGGACGTGTGCGCAAGACTGGTAACCCTGCAATGCATCTGTGCTGCTAGAGCACCACTGCTTAGACTTCTTTCGAGGTTCCATTAAATCACGGATCCCGACATCTACATACGTGTATAACAACCTTGGGGATTGTGCAGGCATGGTCCTGTTACACCCGGAACCTGGCTGTTTCGTGTAATTCCGGTTGCAAACGTCTCTAAACTGGTTTCTGTGGAACGTCAAGACCACAGGTGCAAGCTGGAATCGGCAAACTGGAGTCGTCATGCAGACGAAAACATGTCTTGCATGTGGACAAAACAAAACGACGAACGCGCAAAATTCGAGCAAGTGTCGTTACTTCCAAATCGGAACACGGTGCAGGCGTGCTCACGTGCGTGTAGCCCTTTGTTGGTTTGTTGGGGAAACCTCCATAGCTTCACCAGGCTCTGAGCTCCAGGCATCCACCAGACCTTACAGTTGTCGAAAGTTCGTCAAAGTGCATCTCCCTCCAAGGCTGAGCTTCGAGCCGACCCAACCTGAGAGGCAAGCACAACATCTTCGGATGGAAGGGAAGGGAGGCCTTCGCCATGAATGCGACTGCACAGGTCGAAAGATCGTTCCATCAAACCCTCGAACTTCTGAGTCCGGGTCCAGACCCGTCGTGCAAACAATTCCGAGAACCTGTCAAGTTTGGATATGCCCCTGCTCATCGGAAACTGGCCCGGGCAGCGTAGGTTAGGTGCCAGACCCACAGCTGTACTCGCAGAGTGTCTGAAGCCTTCAGCTTGCATCTTTCAATGACTATTTCGAAGGCTGAAAGCACAGAGTGCGATGCATGTCTCAAATGCAGCACTGCGCGGAGTTGTAGTGCCCTCTTTGCCTTGTAGTCGGGCGTGTTCACGAAGGATGTTGGCTTCACCGGCTCCTTCAGAAAACTAGTTTCTTCTGGAGATCATGAGCTCGTATGAGCTTCCTGGGCCAGCAGGGCCGCGCTGGCCAGCTGCCAGGCCACGGCAGTCAGGAGCATCCTTGCGCCGAGGTTTGGGGCCAGGTTCAAGGATTCGAGGCAGTTGCAGAGAACAGATGAACAGCACTTCCTGTCCACCGCTGCTAAACATTTTTTGCGGCCTGAAAAGCGCCATTGCGGCGGAAAGGCAGACTGCCTGCTTCAGTGACGGAGACGGGACGACAGCTGTGAGCCGATCCCCCTGCGGCTTGGAAGTTGCAAGAACGGATACTCTCGCCGATCTGCTCTTGTCAGCCGCACATTGCCTTCGCAGCTCCCAAATATGCCAATCAGAGCAGGTACGGGAAGAATCGCAAAAAGAGAAACATCTTTCTGGGCATCTGCCTGTCGCATGCTGGAGCAGTGTGAAGAGCATCCTTTTTTCAGGATGCGGCTGTCGCGCTGCTTCTAGATGTCATGAAGTCACGCCTCGGCACCGCCGACTGTTTCCAGAGCGCGCTGTTTCAATGTGGAGAGCTCAGGTTCGACACTTCGCTGGAAGAAGTGCATTTTCGACTCGGGACCCGTCGTCTCGATGACCGCGATGAGGTATTTCAAGTCCATGAGAAGGAATTTCAAAGCCTGCTGGCTCTTGGTTTAAATCGATCGAGCTGCTTACAGTCAGGATATCTGATGTCTGAATGAGCTGCCGAAGCCCACAACGAACCAGTTGCAGTCCATCTGCCTTGAATGCTACTGTCATCGCTGGTACTGAGCATGCACAGTTCCGCCAACAAGGAACGAAACAAGTCTATCAACATCGCATATCAGCGGCCTCTCGAAACAGCTCAACAACAGAAATCACATATCATGTACACAATCACTGCACATTTGTCTGACATCACTGAGGCAACATGTCGACAGACAGCAATACGGCTATGTTCTGCCACGCCTTCGTCCACCGCTCTTGGTCAAACTGGCTGCCCTTCACAGAGCAACCACCAACCTCATTCACCGTCTCAGACAACAGCCCCCCATGAATTTGTGGCCAATTTAGACGATTTTAGACGCATCATGAACCTTGACAAAAATTTCTGACAGGACCTACAGTGCAGCCCTGTCATCAAACTTACATCTCAAACTGGGGCAATGGCCTTATCTCTTTCGATCTTAAACGGAAGTTGCAGAGGAGCACTCCTCTGCAGGAAGCTTACCACCTGCCGGCGGGTGACATGGTTCAGAATGTTTTTCACTGCCTGCACGGGCTTGTTGCAGCTGCAATGGCTCTTGTTTTGGGCAGAGTTCGTCGAGTGAAGCCTAGGACTGCTCGGCCTCCTGCGTGAAACACAGGAAAGCCTCGGGAACACAGGCCAGCTGACTCTCAATTGAAGCGCTCGGTATTCCTAGTGCATTGCCGCTTCATCACGGAGCACCTCATCCGAGGCCAGCACGTGCATTGCAGAGCCAAACTGGGATGCAACCCAGAAGCTAGAAAGCCTTGGCATGCCATACTAGCAGCTAGCAGTCAGACTCAGGGCCCTCAATGCAGGATCTGCCCTGGCAGCTTCGTCAAAAATTGTTGACTGCACGTCCTCTCGCAAAGCTTGACGATCTGGCCAGACACATTGAGCATTGCACCCCCCGTCGCAGCCATACAACTCGAAGTCTTTGCCACCAACCTTCCACATCCGTAATGTCACTTCATCTTCCCTTGTTGGAGCACACAGCGTCACGCAATTACGGGCTTGAGTTAGCCTAACACTCTTTATATCTCTTTATTCCTGGCTTGCTCCTTGATCAAGAATACTGGCTTTCTGATTGAAACTCACCACTTGAGAGCCGCCGGGCGTCCGAAATGGAATCTGTTTTCGTCTCGGTCTCTGGAACTTGCATTTCTTTGGACTACGCAGCCAAGGCCACCACCTTTTCACTACTGGTGCTCTGTCCGAACTCTTCGGAGGTCTGCTTGATGCAGCATTCCAGCGGAGTGACACGTTGGCCCCTGTTTTTAGACCCAATTGTTCAACACAACACGCAAAACATGTCAACGTCGAAGTCACTTGCCATGCAAACGTCCGGCTAGAAGAGTGGCTCAGCATGCTGTTAAACTATGCACCTATGCTGCTTCTGCTCAGCCCAGTTCGAAATCAGTGTGTTCCGATTTCCGTGCCACTTCGAATTGCAGATTTGTAGATCTGCGGTCGTCCCGGTCATGGCATGAAATCTGTTGACACGTTGTGCTGAATGAGGGGGCCAGCGATGGCTACTGAAAACCCAACCGCACGATGCGCATGGTAGCATCAGTCCGGAACAAAGCAGCCCACTCTCATGCGAAATGTATGCAGTGTGTGCAACCACCACAACCACCGCCGCCGCCGCCGGCCCCCGCCGCCACCGCCGCGGCCCCCGCTCCCGCCACCACCATCAGCACCACCACAAACAAATAACACTAATAATTAGTAATAATAACGGTAATAAAATATTGTTAATACTATTGATAATAATAATAATAACAATAACACTAATAATGACAGTATTAATAATCATTTGTGGATCGCATCTGTCTGGGCTAATGCATTCGCTCGGCTCACTTTTCCTTTCGCGCTGCCTCGCCATAGGTCCTTCTGTAGAGCCTGGGTGTACTCACAGGAAGTGTTTTGGTAACACATTCGGTTTGACATTCCACCAGGCATGCCAGGTGAACTCCTGCTGCCGAGTACTGTCACGAACCTGCCTCGGTTTGAATCCCCTACCGAATGCAGTCGCGAAACGACACGCTGTGCCACGCCCAAGTGGGAGAGGATAACCCCACGGGAGATCGTCTCGGAAAAAGGGACGCGTGGGCGGGCAAACAGTCCAGCCTTTTTGGCTCAACTGCCACGGCTTGAACCCAAAGGCAAGATGAACGACAACACGGCACGAAACCATTCGCCGGGGACTAGGGATCAGCATCCCCAGAGCACCCCCAAGCGGCTAGTGGAATCTGACCAGCTGGACTTACTCGGGATCCACTCCCAGTACACCCAGGTCATATGGAAGATGCACAGCATACGCTTCGATAGCTCGCGGCTGGTCCTCGAAACCGCTGCATCAGACGGCTGAACCTCAGCCGGAAATCTGAGCTTGCACCGCCCCCAGAAAGTCCCCTTAAGGCCCCTGACTGACCTCAGAACCGGCTAGCATGCAATCGAGGTCGGTGAGGGCCACTTTCGAGCGGCCCTGCTCCACCGGGGAGTAACAAGTGCAGGTGGCCTTCCAGGCTCGCCTGAGGCGTGCTGTTTGTATCCACGTAAGCTTTGGCGACCCAAGTTCCGACGCTAGCCTCATCATCGAACAGAAACCGCAATCCCCCGAGGTGCGAAATCCCTGTCTTGACTATCTTATCACAATGACCTTCTGTTCCAATGCACAATTTTGCTGCAGGGAATTGAGACTCGATTGGATATCCGGGTCGCCTCGACGCAATAATGCCGCTGATGTCATGCTCTTGGCTACAGGGTAGACTCCCTGCGGGTCCAAGGCCGCTCCAGGAGGACAACCCCTCCACTCGCAAGGCTTAGCTCTCCACTCCTCGGTCACCCCCGAGATAGAGCAGCGCCTTGACCAAAAGACGACAGGACTAGAGTCGACGAGAAGAGGAGAAAGGCCCGGCGGAGCCGAGAGACAGATCAGGAAAAGATGCGCGGAAACTGCAGCCAAAAACACTCCAACGCACACGCGGCATGTCTGCTGCATAGCCGCCTAACAGCACAACCTAGCAGGACCTAGCGCACTGCAGCAAGGTGCCCGTGTACTCACCGGCTTCTTGCTTCGATGCGCACTGCTATCAAGTCGGGCACCAGCGTCGGCAGGCACCTTGGGTATCTTAGGCTCTTATTGAAGCCGCGCTGACACCAACGCCAACCTTCGCTGAGAAGGATCGCAGCATGGCCCCAAATTGAAGGCTACACACAGTTTTTGCCGTCCTTGAAGGTGTGCGAAGCCTTGCGGTGGCTTCGAGCCTCTCGGCCCCCCTCGGCCGCCGCTGCAATGGTGACTTCGCTCGGGACCGTACTGTCGAGAACGGCTGGGAGAACGGCCTTCCGCTTGGCCTTCGTTGCAAAGGCGGCTCGCCCTCATGGTGAACTTCTTGGGGACATGGAGGTTGAAGGCTGGCCCCTGCCGAAGCTCTTACATGTCAGCTTTCACCTGAACTCGTAGCATGCTCGGCCACATCGTTTAGGGTCAAGTGAGGTAAGTGCGAAGCTCGCCCATGCATGCCCAGACCAGGTGCTTGGCCCGCACCGACTGCGTGTAGCGCAGCGGATAGGTCGGGCAAGCTTATCTTGCTAGTCACAGCCACGGGTGGGCCCAAGCGCGTCCAACTATAGGAGGTAGGCTCCTCCGGGTTCTCGACCACATTGGTAAAAGCCGCCTGAACTGCCAGGGTCGACTCCCTCAGCGACCAATAGAAACCCTTCCCAGCAAAGCACAGACCACAGGTGGCTTTCCTTGCCTCTCGGACTCTAAGAGGCTGTCCAAAGCCAAAACCCGCGGCGGCTCCGCTTCTGCATTCCCTTGCGGTAGATGGCACGCACGGACGGTCGACCCAGTGATGGAAAGCACATCGCTGCGTGTCGCGTGGATACATCGCACACAGGCTGAGGCTTGCATCCACTGCCCAAGCAGAGTGGTCCACCTAGGCTCGCCGACCATGCACTGCTCCTCCATGATCTTCTAGGTCCACGGAAGCTCAGCCTGCTTAACCGGTCACTTGAGCACTGCATGATGTGGCGCACCACATCCCTGGAAGACGAAATGACGAAAGCCTCGAGGTCCACACGGTCAACCTCCTCAAGCCCATCACGTGGACATGCTGAAGCTCACGGAGCAAAGTGATGGCCTTCTTGACGGTGCCCAGCGCCGGCTGATCGCTGCACCTTGGCGTCAATCCGCCAAGTCATCGGCCAGAGCACTCTCGGCCGGTACCGCCGGCTTGGGCTGCGTGGCTGCGGTCGCCGGCGGTCTGGGCTGCACTCGCCTCCTGAGGTCCTGGGCAACGGCACCGACGGCTTAGCTCCTGCCGGGCCTGCGCCGCTTCATGCGCGAACGCAAGAGCCGCCCTCTCATCCTCATCGACCCGGATCGACTTCCAGGTGGCAGCCACTTTCGGGCCGCTTGGCAGACCGCCTCATCGTAGCTCGCAAAGACATAAGCGATTGCGCCACGCCTCGACACGAAGAGCTGCAGAGGTGCTCTCGCCGGGCAAGCCCGAGGAAGACGAGGCTTGCTCAAGCCTCCTCCCCTCCCGCGGCCTCCATGACCTGCTCCACATAGCTCCCCGCCGTGGATGCGGCTTGCATATGGCCTGAGCCGGCCAACCACGACACTGGCACTCCGGCCAGCCAAAGGATCCCCGTCACCACAGGCTATAAGTCCGGGTCATGTAGACGCACTCCCCGGCTCACAGGCATAGCTCGCACTCCATCTTGCACTCATCGCAGCCACGGGCCTGAAGGCCGCCAGCACAGCCACAACTCCGGTCATCGGACTGGCCCTGCCGAACCAGTTGGTGGACATGGCCCGGAAAACCAGGGATCGAAAGCCCCGACCGAGCAACGTCGACCTCATGTTCCGAGAGCCGCTGCACCTTTCGACTGAGGCCCAAGCTTCAAGTGGAGGAGTGCCCGCCAAGACATCGCGGCGGGCCCACGATCGGAAATTGAGAGCCTCCTCTCCGGTTCTGGCAGCAACCACAGTTAAGCTCCACTGGGGGGATTGCTCCATTGGCTTCGGCCATACAGTCAAAAACTGGATGCGTGTGCTGAATTTCGATAGCCCGACACCAATGCATGGCACACTCGCTAACACGACCCGCCTCGTAGAGCTCGCGGAGTCGCACCCTTCAATCGAGGTAAGCCGGCGTAGCCAGTGTGAGCCTGGCGGTATGTATCCATACCTATCTGCAAACCCAGCTTCATGAGCCACAGCAAGGCGGGCAGCACCGCACAGGTCAACTCCTGAAGACTAACCACAGGACCACACCTGGGTAACTTTTTGGCTCAGCTGCCACGGCTTGAACCAAAAGGCAAGATGGACGACAACAAATGAAGCATGTGCACCCAAGCCTGCCAAACTCGACACATGACCATGTCTAATCATCATCATCATCATCATCATCATCATCATCTGCTCCATGCACAAGCACTGAGCTCTGAGTCTTCTGCTTGTCGAAATCACCTGAGCTACACAGGCTGCGGCCTTGATGGTCGAGTGGCTGCCACGGGGTACAAGCCTGCCACATCACAGAGCGAGGGTCCAGGGATTGGGGTGGAAGCAGTCGATGTGGAGTGCCGCAGACTGCGGACAGTGCTTGCTTGCCCTTTCGAGGCCGTTAGATGTACAGATATACTGCGTCTGCGAGGCTGACGCGTGCGACCGATGGATATCGATAACCGAAGAGTTGCATGCCAACCTGCTTACATGAGACCTGGAACCCTTCGGTTGAATCCCTTTGCAGCTGAGTTCGACTACTGCTTTCCAATGAAGGCGCTCTCTTCTTAAAGCCGTGGCGGACACTCTGCAGGTCGAAGGGCCTATACTGCGACTGCGCTGTCGGCAAATTGGCTTTCTTCACCTGCAGCAGAGATGCAAAAACAGGTAAGGCTTCGCAGCACCATAAAGGAACAAGCTTCATTGCGTCATAAGCTGCAAACAAGAGCATCCAGCAGGAGACAAGCTTGTCCCCACGCAGCATTGACCTGCACGCAGAGGCGACCTGTGTCACCGCCCAGCAATGCAGCGTGGACAGATCTACCTCTTCCCATGGCACTGGCTGTTCTGGTAGACGTCCCATCCTTGATGACGCGTGATATGCCGTACTCAGCACCCACACTGAGAGAAAGGGTGGAAAACATGTGAGCACACACACCACAAAATCGTTGCTGCACAGCATCCGAAAGCCGTTGATTGTACCAAAAGGCCCGTCCTGCCAAGGCTAACGACCACTCCATGCTGCCCTTCAGGACAAGTTGGACTGAAGACCGCAACAACATACAGGTGAATGACATGAAAAACTATGTTCTCCACGAAGGTAAGAAACCTGGCAAGACCTGATGCGTGCAATCGCCGGTTTCTGGCAGCCGCTTCACCACGCATATGCACAGTCAGGGCCTTGGGTATGTACAGTCGCCTTGGTGCACACCAGGGCCCATGCCACACTGCCTGTGGAATAGATTGGAGCCGACATGCTGGCCCTCCGCCCGCTCAGCGACGATAGATCTCTCAGGCGAGGTATCCGGATCCTGCATGTGCATCACTAATGATGCGGAATTCGAGGTGGTCGATCCTCACGCGGAAGTCTTTTCTTGGATTGAAGTCTTCAAGGTTATCGAGCACCATCTTGTTCAACCTGGATGGGAAGCCACAGCCTCAGATGCGCTTCCTAAGCTGTAAGATGTCTGCCAATCGGCATTGCAAAAGCAGCAGGTCAGCCAAGCAAATCTAGCAGCATCAAAGTCAGAAGGATCTGTTGGACAAGACCTTGGGGGCAACCAAGGTCCAGCCGTACACCGCGATACAGACCTCAGCACATCGTAACACGAGGCCGGCAGGCTACCCAACTTCTGCAAATCACAGCGGACTTGGCACCTGGTACTATACCTGATCCGGGCAGTTTGGCCAAGGAACAAAGACGGTAGCCGCTCGAACATTGAATCTGAGCCAACTCACCTCTGCGTGTTTGCAATTCACAGTCGACTGTTTCATTACCATTGCTAGAGGCAGCCGAAGGGCACGTGGTGCCAGCAACGAGGTTACGTAGAAGTCGGCCAGGAAATGGACTCCACAGCGCAACAAGAAGTCGCTAGAGTCCTCATCATGAGATGAAGAACGACAGTGACCTACTTCTAGCAAATGCTTGCTTGCAGGCGACAAAGTCGTCATTGTCATCGATGGCAGCCGCACTGCGACCAGCCAGGTGCCTAGGACACTTAGGGAAAGGACCGGCGGAGTGCCGTCAAGTTTGGAACCGGCAGAGACGCCTGGCAGGGCTACTGCTAATGGCGAAGTAGGCAAGGGAACAGGCCGGCACCAGCAGGCCATACCTCGGAGCATGTTTCTTGCAACCTTGCATCTTGAATGAACGAACCCTGCCACTGCGCCAGAGCATTGCTGCTGGAACACAGCGTGGTCGGAACGTCGTCATCCTCTAACGGAGCAGCGCTGTCAGGCCGGATCTCCGCGACCTGGTGGCAGAGATAGACATTGTAAGCCAGCATGACCTGGAAAAACCAGCAGATGGAGGCGGAGCTGACTCATTGAATGCGGCTTCCCTACAGGAAACATGGTAGTGCACATCCAAGAAGCCGAAGAAGTCATCAGGGAGCCATGCTCGCACCAGGTTGTTATGCTCACTCCCAACAGGAGCACTGAAAAGATGAAAGATATCACCACACACCAGATCACCTGCGCGACGACTTAGAAGGCATGAATGCCCGTTTGCTGGACATAGCATACAAAGCACGCCTCGGGCTCGTGCATGCACAGGAAGATGGTTGCTGTTAGCCTGGTGTGTGTGATCGTTGAGTATGCGTGCGGCTTTCATCCAAGACGGATGCAGAGGAAAGACTGCAAGATGGATACCACACTGTGCCGCATGCCATACTGCCGAAATTCGAGTCGACACCCGTTAAATCCCAAATGAACACTCCTCAGCTGGGGTCCACGCGAGCCCAGAAGCAATAGAACAGAGGCGGCAACCATGATGCGCAAGCGCCAGCTATAGGCCTCGACTGGCATCTTCAAAGTTGAGTTACCAGCCTCTGTAGTAAGTGGCTTCTTTCAGTGCCCCACATCACTGCTGACAAGCCGTTGTCTCGTCTGCACCTAGCTGGCGAGGATGAGCTAAGGGGGGGGGGGGTGGAAAGATACCAGTCGGCTGGCCCCTTTGGGTCTCAGTTCTGTCCTGCCTGAAAGCCTTCTTTGCTTCACCGAGTTGCTGCACCGCTGTACAGGCGGTCGTTGAGGTTGTAGGCCCAGTCCATGAAGAGGACCGCCTCAGATCGCAGATCCTTTGGGGCGGCCGAAAGCTGGGAGCTCCGAGGCTCCCGAGGCTCATTACTGCGACCTCAGAAGACTTTTCGCATCGTTTTGCCTGCAGCACGCGGTAGGCGGCAGCGGCAAACCTTCCGCGAGGCCATCAAGCTGAGGATGGTTGCAGCTTGCGAGTTAATCATGCCGGGCAGACATCCCAAAATCCTCGACAGCGACAAATAGGCCAGATGGGAGGCAAATGGCCACCAGCAGCAGCACAAGCCTTAATGCAGGATCTGCAACAGTGAGCTGTGCAAAGAAGCTCGTGCATGACGTCAGCAAGCACTACAAGCCAAAACAGGCACACCGGAGAGCCAGATTCGGAAAGCTGCCTGTCCGTGCAAATCCGATTCCCGTCTCTGCCCCAGACCAATTTGCAGTACCTGGCATCGTCACCCGTCCAGGTGCAGACGAGATGCTGCACCGTGGCAATCAGCCTGAAGAGGAAAGCATTGTGCCGTAAGGAGTCAGACCAGCAGGACTAAGTGACTACAAGGCAAACTGCAGCCAGGACTCACTAAGACGGCCACGCGGTGCGCCAAGCCGTGTGCCCGCCAGAGAGTGCCCAGAGAGCCTTGCACCGTTAGGATGGCCAGCCTGGGTGGGAGTCGAAAGCGACATAGCTTTGGATATCAGAGATCACCCAAAAGGACCACCGAAAATGATGCCATTTGATGGACACGCGATGTGCTCGTGTTGCTCACACGGGTGCCACCTGGCCACAGAATGTATATAAGGATCGAAGAGAACTCGGCACCTGCAGCGGTCTTCGAGTCTGCACCCAACGCACTTCTGCCTCGGCGGCTGGCCGAGTGACGGAAAGCCATCTGATCTCGATAGCAATACTCCGTGTCCGGCAGATTCAGTGTTGCAGGACCTCAAACTTGAGTCTAGAGAGGCATGCAAGGAAATTGGGTCTAGAGCTGCGCACCTTCGCACACGCAGACTCCAACACCGGCCTGGCTGCTTCGACCTCAACACATTTGGTGCAATGCAAAACTTAGGGATCCATGTAAGGCTAAGGATGCCGCAACAAGACATGTCCTAGCAGTCTCAGGACGCAGCAAAAGCCCGGCGCACCCAAGCGCAGAAGCAGTGCCAACAAAGCACTGAGGCCCTGCACGAGGACCAGAAGCCTCGGCTGAAAGAACTCCCCAGCTGGCACACATATCATCACATGTGCAACCCAGGGGCCAGTGAGACCACATCTTTGACCCCATGGCTGCGGATCTATGAGCGTCTCCCCTAGAGAAATCAGAGCTACACGAACGTGGATGTCGACGGCTGTCATTCGATAGCTGTTCGGCAGTGAAGACCTCAGACCCAGCTCCAATGGCGACGGCAGGGTGACGGCAATCGACACAAAGTACTATGTCCATGCTACAGACGAGAATAGTGCCAGGCCGTGCAAAGGATTTTCAGGTCATGTCGTCTGACAGAGTGCACCACTGCGCCATGACAGCGTCGCTTCTAGCAGTAGAATCTAGACGGACTGTGTTGAACTTCATCGTCCTGGGAGATGTGGAACATCTCCTGGCATCTTCGCACGGTTCACTTTGCAGCTGGCAGCCCGTCATGCAGAGATGCTTACCGGAATCAAGGCTCTGTACACCTGTAGCACGGAAGTTCAAAAGCCAGAACCCGCAAGTGGGCCAGAAGTGCGTTCAGCACGTTGGTTTTCCGGAGCCGTGTCAGCTCCGCCGATGCCTAACATCGCCCAGCTCGTTTTCTAACTGTTCAATGCAACTCGTCTGAGTCTGTCATTTCCAACAAATCTGGTACGGTTCTTGAAGCTGCCATCGGGGACCAGGCATATCGGATAGCTGCAGACGTAGCAGCACGCTCCTTCATAGGCCCGGCTTGCCGAAAATTCGAAAAATGCACAGACCACGTGCGAGTTCTTGTGCTCTTGCTTGTCCTCTTCTGTCTCTTCGATGTCCAACTGGCACTCTGCAACTTTCATCCAAAAATCGTCTTCCTCCAGATCTGGCAGAACTACGCCGAGCTAAGCCTCCCATGGAAGTTTCTGCGCGCACCCACTACGAACTCGCCCGCATCGGAAATGCCTCCTTTTGAAGTTGCTCCTCCAGTTGCCGCTGGCGCTCAAGTTCGCCCTGAGCAGCTTGTTGCGGCTCCGGGCACAAAAAACATGACTTGATGTAACTTCAGGCTCCGGCCATGAGCTCCGCCTCCTCTTTTCTACACGCCTGCAGTCGAGTGCTGCAGGCAATTCAGGGAAGCTGCATCTGGCGGCGCTGCACCTCCAACTCATTGAGTAGGCTCTCTTCTTGGCGTTCCATCTCAGAGATCTCCGCCTATCACTGCGCGAGGATCGGAGGAATGACTTGACGCCTATCTGTCCGACACAAACGCAAAGAATGCTGACTGAGCGGCTTCGAGTGCTGCCTGCGTGCATCCAATGCTATCACAGCCGACAGCACGTAGGCAATGGTGGGTCTATGTAGCTGTTGTGAACATGAACGATGCAATGCCGACCTGTTAATCAACGACACTTCGCCTCGTCACTGGCGGCCAGCTCCTCCTTCAGGCGCTGGAGCGCCTCGTCGGACACCGCGAAAAACCCACTCTGCGACCTGAGAACCCCCGAACCTCGTTGTAGGTGCGGCTTTCTTCGGCAGCCTTAAAGACTGGTGCATCTCAAAAATTGCAAAAGAATTCTTCTTGCTTGGCAACTTCTTTTTTGTCACTTCTGTGCCAAGGGGGGGGGGTCTAGCCGGCCACCAGTTTGCGCTCACCTCGGCCTCGCAGAGGCATCTTGAAACTGCCAGGGAAGCCTCACAGATTCTCTGCAAGTCCTGGTCTGGAAAAACGAGCTGTGCATTTACCAAGAGATGCAGGCTTTGGCGGAGCTCCGATTCCCTACAGCGCTGTGATGAGTATGAGTGCCGCATGCCAGCAAAGCCCACAAAAACCTGAATCGAGCGAAACAGACTTGCGACCTTTGGTTGCAAGACTTCACGCTAGAGGCAAAATACGGCACCTGCAGGTTGTCATGCCAGTATGCGGTACTTGCCCCAGTCATCACACGAAGTTCCTTACATCTGGCGCTGCCAATGAGACAGTGGATGCTGTTGCTGAAAGAGACAGAAGCCATTTCGTCAAAGCATCTCCAAGAGTATGCCGGCAAGCAGACCGAAGAAGAACATCGCCTGTGAAGCAAGACTCGCAACTGCCATCCACTGGGGCCCTGGGGCCCTGGGGCCGCGGACGTTGATTATCTTGGAGCCGCTTGCAACTTCCTGTGCTTCGACTAGGAGCTCCTGTGAGGTGAAGTGCAGCCATGTGAGCTCTTCTTCCTCTGCCAGACTCTGCCGCAGAGCTCCTGTGTCACGAGGAAGAGCAAGGCAACGATGGAGAAGCTGATGAAACCCTGAAGTGCAAATTCTGAAGTCTGGCTCTTTGAGTTCAGTCTTAAGTTCAGAAGTGCCTTCAAGCAAAGCCTCCAAGCCTTGACATGTTTCTCTTGGGACCCGGCAATAAAGACCTCAGGATTTTCCGAGCACATCCTTCCGAGCCTGCCAGATGCACAGGCGTCTCGATTCATCTGCGAGTCATGCCAGTCGGTCTTAGTCTTTGTCTGGTGCCTGTGTCCTGCTTCGCCGGATAGCACCAAGATCACTGGTGGCAGCAGAGCTACTGTCACGATCTTCCACGCCTGCGTGCATGTGGTTTGTCTGCTTGTCGCTCGGTTTTCCTGTACCTTCCCGTTCAATCTCTACCTCGCCGACACATTCGTCGGCTCTGCATACTTATGTTAATTGTCCATTTGTTACTGGAATTCTACAACTCCCCTCGGGTCTCCTGCGGGGATTCCAAGCCAAAGTAGCCAAGGGGCCGCGCGCGTGGCGTTCTGCAGAGAGGCGCAGAAGGAAAGGCCCAAGAAGCCCATTTCCTGAGCCCAGCAAGGCAGCGCCCCCGCTTGCCCCCCCCTTGGCAAAGGTCATGGCTATGCAGGTCGCAGCTGCCATGGCAATACCCGCACCTTGGCTGTCAATTCAATCAAGTCTTTCCTGAAGTGCTCGGGAGCAGCTGTCATGCCAAATACTGCCAAATATACTCAGCCGCGATGCTCGGAGATGCTGCGTAGGACAAGCCTTCGCTGGTTTCACCCTTTAAGTCGCTTTGGATGCACCTAAACTAGCCCCGAATTGGCAAAGCCCCTTCACGTGCTATCAAGAAGCCGATCAACAGCCCGTCCACTGCGGCATCCACCGTGACCTGGGCATCCCAGCTGGCAAGTCGCACATGCAGCGGAAGCGGGATACTCGAGAACTGGAGCTTCCCGGCCCTGCTGACGCTGAGCTAAGTCGCTCTCGCAAGACGCCGAGAGAACAGTCTCTCCGCGACGGGTGCAAGCTCCACCCCAACTGCTAAGCCACAACTCGAACATCTCCTACTGCATGTAAGACAGTCATCTTGGGGCACCGGCTGCGCCCACCAAAGCAAGCGGTAGATGCTCCGACAGCTTGGCTTCCTCGCTTGGCCTTGGCAGCCGACATGTCTTCAAAACGCACAACGTCCAAAAAGAAGGCTCGCAACCATTCCTGACTGCTCCAAGCCGCTTCGCCCGGGCCTTCCACCGCCGGAAGTGAGGCACACGCTCCGCGTGACCATGCAAATGCTCCAGGCAAGCCTTCCAAGCTCTCCAGGCACTTCGACTCTCCCACTCTAGTCTTCTCGCCGCTGTGCGCGACGCCTGAAACTCTTTGAGGTCGTCTTTGGCCTTCTGGAATGAATCGAAACCTGGCCCCGAACAATGTGCAATCACCCTGCTGTTGGTCTTCAGAATTGCAGAGCACCCATATCTCCGGCTATCGGCTAGAACCGCAGGCCTTGGAGCTTAACTGATGCCTGATCCAATTCTCGCCCATGTTCTTTCATCCTGCCAACACGTGGTCGAACCAGTTTGCATGCTCGGTGTCGACCGAGAACCACGAGTAGGGAAGGTGCCTTTTGTGATTGTAGTCGTCGATCCCTGTTCGGACATAGAGAACGCGTGTGGCCTTGTGAACTCGATACCTGAAATGCTCCAAGCAGGGTCAACCACGATGCAGGAAGTGCAGCATGCCATTGAAGCGAGGTGCTCCAGGCCATGTAGGATCTCATCAATGGAATTCTGACAGCCGTCTTGAATAACAGTTTGCAACCCTCAGCTGCATTCTGCAAGCTACATAGGCTTGAACACTAGACTCCTGTGCCGTCTGCCTTAGCGAGGCCCCCTCACTCACCATCTGACAGATGGGCTTCACTTGGCCAAGTCTCGCTGAACCTCCTTCCGAATCTCAACAGTTTCTGCTTGGAAACCTTCCTGGATCAGGCGCGGCACAAACCGATTGCAACGCAAGGTAAAGTAGATGCAAACATACGGCTAGACACTGCGAGCGAAGCTCTAGAGCAACCGTATAGAACCCCCCAAAGATACTGTATTGCTACAAAAAACCGACACGGACAAAAATGACTAGGAGCGGCCTTTGCCCTCGTCCGCTCGGCTTCATCGACATCGAGCAGCGCCTCCATACAAGCTCCCAGAGCACTGTTTATGGAAAATCAAAGCTGCGGCCCATCCGGGAAACCACCACGATCAGCCCAAGCAACGAGATTAACCCCTGGACCAGATTGCAGCAAGGCGCTGTCTCGATGTCGCTGTGAGTTCTCCTGTGCGTCGGCTGCTCCTGCATGCGCTTCCGTTTTGAAGCTGAGCGAATCTCAAAGGGCCCTCAAGTCGCAAAATGATCGTAGCAGGGATTGGTAGGCATGACATCCTCGTCTTCCTCTTCTTCCATGCTTTCTGTAAGGTGGCCCAGACCAAACCTGTTTACGGTTCTGACCCTGCACGCTGTATCTGGCTGATGGAAGATGTCCTACTTACTTGTGGAGATGCCCGCCAAGGGACATAAAGATCAGGCCGATCGTAAATCCAATCACCAGCGCCACCGTTGACATCAATTTCGAGGTGTCTGAGGTTTTGGGCGACAGTAGTGGCAGGAGCTCGTTGCCAACAGCGGAGATCAGAAGGCCTCACAGCCACAGACGAGGTTCGTAATGAACCCTCCCGAAGCGACGGCTGAGAAAAGAAGATCAGCATCGACCGCGCCTGCTGAAAACATCTGGAATCCTGCCTGGATCGTGTCGGGCAGTCGGCACCTTGGTCAGCAACTGGGCGTACCAATACACGTCGCCTTGCATCACAGCATCCTCGCCGCAAGGATCACCAGCAGCCGTGCTAAGCCACGGACACGAAGACAGCCATGGAGCCCAAGAGCATCGCTATCGAGGGCAGCGAAACCACAAGTTGGACATGAGTCTCCATGGACCTCGACTGCAACCCGCAAAGCCGCAAAGCTTTACATTGCCTTACAGCTGCTTTTGGATTCTGCATTCTACTTGATGACTCAAGCCTGAGAAAATAAGGGTATGGCCTCGTTGGTCTTCGCCGCGGTGGCCAAACGGCCCAAGGAATCTACCCTCTGCGTATCTAAACTGAACGCTGTGAAGGCATCCAGCGATGAAAGCTCAAGAAGCCATGCAGCAGAATTCATGCAAAAAGGGTCGAACGACTACGTACACTGCCCTTGCACAGCTGACACGCAAGGCCTCGCTGGCCAGCCGCTCCACTTCCGCAACAACGTTTTTCAGGCAGTTGGAACCTCCAACTCCCCTCTTCGTCCAACGTGTGCCACGAAGTTGTTGGGAGCGACTGTAACCCTCAGGGCCCTGCAGACCGGGTGATCCTGCCCGGACTGGCCAGCAGCGAGGGCCTCGGTGAAACTAATCGGTCGATGAAGGGTGATCTGGAACTCTGTCGTGGCTTTGCCCAGAATGTGTTTTTTTGGATTCAGCACACTTCCGAGATGCAACGGCCTTCCTCAGAAAAGATCGGGAATCATTGAGGTATTAGGCTACTAAGCGAAGCTCCATGCAGAGCGACTGTGAAAGCTGACGCCGCTACCACATCAAACTGCACGCAGTGGGCAACTTTCCCTGGGCCCGTCGAGCTTGAACCTCCTATCCTTCGAACCACTTCATACCCAGCACGATGTCAGCGCGGCCTGTGCAGCCTGGTACCTTTCAAGCAATGAAGATAACGATGCAAGGTAGGAGCCATCTTTCCAGGGTCTACGCCATGGGCGATCGTAATGGCATCGAGCCTCGACTTCCCTAACAGCCCCAGAGCCCAACCTTTCCGGCCGAAGCACGTCTAATGCTGTCGCAAACAGTGAACCTGCAAATTCCAATCAACAGCCTCCCTCCCAGCTGGGTGGCCAGACCATGATCCGCTCCACTCGAGCCACCTGCTCGAAAGGTGCCACCCATGGCTGCGCCTGAGGCTGGTCGTGCAGTGAGGTCGGATGGAGCATGATGGAGCCCAAAGGACCCAAAGCAAACATGCCCCACAGACGTCAACCGACTCTGCGCTGCCAGCTGTATGTCTGCAGTTCTTAGATGTCAACAGCTTCATACACTCTGGCGAAGCTCCCTTAGACCGAGCCTGGTTGGGCGCATCCTGCTGAGAACCTGGAGCCACGAAGGACTCGGGTCCCCGAGCAACACGTAACATGGCCCGGTTTGCAGATGGATTGTTGGGTGTAGGAATCTGCGGAAAATGGGTCCCAACCGGGCAGGCCAAGGGACTTTGGCTCGGCTTCTCCGGCTCCTCAGCACTGGGTGGTACCACCTGAGGCTGCCGACGACGGCAGCAAGAATCACCGACATCGTGACTTCGTGTCCGGGCTTTGAAACGCCTCTGGGACAGTGCATACAACCGAGGTGGCATACACTGGGTTGACGGCCACGAATGACTCGCTCACACCCTTGTGGAAAGACTTCGACACGTCCTTGAATCACGAGCATCTCACACACGCACACACACACACACTCACTCACTCACTCACTCACTCACTCACTCACTCACTCACTCCCTCTCTCTCTCTGTCTCTTTGTCTGTCTGTGGACAGGAGCGAAGCTAAAGCTGCTTAAACGACACATTGCCGAAAGGTCCGCGAAGATCCATCTCTCTCGAAGTCTCGAACTCTGATCCTGAAGCTATGCATGGCTTTTCGCTGCTTGCGCACTCTCAGTTGCGAACCGCTTCCGGAGGCAAGTCCTAGGTGTGAGACTAAACAGCTTCACATGCAGCACAAACGAACTGTCGCTGAGTCGCTGGTCCAGCTTCAAACTGAGACAACCGAGCATGTGAGGGCATGCATCTTAGCACCTAGCCGAAGGAGCAGCAAGCACCGGCACGAGGGCAGTCCCAAGCCCCGAACATCCACGATGCGTAACTGATCTCCACACCGGCTACCTTGCCAAACGTGCTTTCCACTAGCAAAAGTTCCGATGGCTCTAAGCAAGCCACCACCTGGAGCGTTGAAAAGACAACTGAGATCCACGCAATCGGTCAAGAAAACGGTCTTCTGTGCAGCATCCTCAGGTTGGAATTAAAACCACCAGAAACAAAGGCAAGCTCTGTGTGGGTCCCGACTGGGGCAGTTCGGCCCAGCGCAGGGTCCGGCGGCCGCAGCATGCAGGCGTGCTCCGAACGGTTGGCTGTGCTTTGAGTGTAGGATGGCGTATTGAGCTGCAATGTGTCCATCTACACTGAATCTACACGCAGTCTTTGATGTGGATGGCGGACTGCGCTGGAGTACATTCTCCAAGACACCCCTGACATGTCTCACTGACCGTCTCACGCACCCGCCTCTCATTGAACATTTTCCTTCCAGCACGAAAAGTTTTCGACCGGTTGCGGCGTGGTCGTTGGCATTGGGACTATGTACCTCCTCAAGGCGGTGACAGAGTCTAGTTCTTTGGCATGGGTGACACCGATTTCACGAGGAACCCCAGGAAGAAGGTGGTGCACGTTTATTTCCAGCTAGCTTCCGCCGGCAAGTTGAGCCCCCAAGGGTTCCACCACACCATGGAAAATGCTTGCATTGAAGGCATCTTCCAGGATCACACAATACCGCTTGCCCGGCACAGCGGCCGCAGCCACCATGATTTCAAATGCACCGTGCACAGACAGTTGTGCTTCAGAGTTCCTGGCTAACATGTCCGAGCATCTGTGCACGGGAAAATGTTCTTTCTCTCCTAGCTGCCAAAAAGGGACCTCAGCTTTTCCGCGGTCCTCGGGAATTGTGGCAGATGGGCCTTACCTCGTGAAGAGCTTGGCCGGACTTGGGCAAAGCCATGCCGTTTTTGTGGCACTCTAGTTGCTCTTGCTCTGCGCTGAGGGCCGGGTGCCATCAAGGCCGTCTGTGAATGAACAACATGTGGTCTGGCTGAACTTGTGTGTACAATCTTCCACAATGGCCAGCGACTTCTCGGCGGTTCGAGCACCCAGGTCAGCGTGCTGACCCTGTAAGAATCCACATCTGATGAGACAAGGCTTAGCTTTTTGTCAGCGTGATTCACGTCTGAATGGTACAGGCTTGTATATGCTCTAGGCAATCATTCGGTAAGAGCTTCTAGTCTGAGGCATCGGTCTCACTTCCAGGCACAGGCGCACGGCACGAGGGCAACAGCTGCCTTGGCAAACGGAAAATCATCCAGTCTTCGTGATCTAAGGACAGCAAGGCGGGATCCAAGCACGCTGCGCCAGGAACCCCTGCGATCTGTAGTCGAGGATGGAACGCCACCTGTAGAAGACAGGAAGCTTTACAAAATAGCAGCTCAGTCGCCATGCTGCACACTTTAGCGCACCACCGAATAGTCATGACTCTCTCTCGAGTATCCACGGTTTACCGGGCCCGACGACCAAACATGTGCCATCTTCGGTTGGACGACCAATCAAACAGCCCGCTTTGCACGTGCAGCTAATATACAGGTCCATTGTCCACTCCACAAGCCTAACTCGTGAGCAATCTCAGGAAGCCAGAAAGTGAGGGATGGTCGTCCTGAAAAACAGATAAACACAAACGACTAGGCTCGCGCAAGAGCTTTCTGTCTTGCCCAATGAATTTCAGACATGGTTGGCTCTCCAGTTAAGGTGCCTTGTTCTTCTGTCTGTATCTCGCCGGATAACGACCTACGACCCCGCCAGCTTCCTGCCGGCACATATTCTGCGCACCTGTCCATGAAGGGCACTGGTGCTCATTGCTCGGCCGAGCGGGGACACGACCTGGCGGCAGAATCAGATCGGCGGGGTCAAAATGAAGACGATGCATTGACGGGAAACAGCTTGACATACACTTGAAGCTGCTAACGCTGAAATGCAGCCCAGTCGCTGCTCGCATTACACCCATGGCGCGGGCAGGTGCGGGGGTGTGCGACGGCCGCCTGCAGAAAGCATGCCAGCGCTGAACCTCCGAGCGGACCTCTTGTTTGACTCAGCCGCTTCCAAGCATCCCCGTGACTGGGCGCAGGACTGCGATGGCTGTGTGGAGGAATGCCCTGCATGAGGTACCTGCGCCACAACCTGGCAGGAATGCCGCCAGCATTGGCGGACGCCACGGCTGGGAGAAGCAGTCACAACAGAACAACTTTGTGCCGCTTCAACAGTAGCAGCGGGTGCGGGCAGCAACAATTCTCTGCGTGGTGCAAATGATGCCAACGGCCTGTATGGGAGAAGCCTGCGGCAGTGCAGCAGCAGAGGCGTAGATGGCTCGTCCCTGCAGAACAAACACGTTGTCCCTCTAATTCAAGAGCATCAATGGCACACATCCGCACATCCGACATTGAATACTGTCTACGCCGCCTACACCTGTTCAATCGCTTTGTCAACACTGCAAGCAGAAGCTTCACCTTGCCAGAAACCCATGTCCAGAAGAATTAACAATTCAATGAACCAGCATCTGCGCACATTTCCTCTGGACTTGTGTCCTCTTTTTGCTGTTGGGGGTAGGTCTGCAACGAAAAGTGAGTCTGCAGTAGCCGCGTTGTTCCACGTAACCGAGCATAATGGCAGACAGACACATACATTATCATACATTGATGATGAACTCGAGAGCAGCAACAGCATGGTAGCATAAACTCTGACAATGGCAACCAGCGCTCAACGACTACATTACAAAAATCAGGGCAGCACTAGGATATCAATTGTCACGGCCATTGTTCCAGGGAATGGGGAAACCTGACACGAGTGGCAAGTACTTGCTACATAAACAGAGGCACTCCGGCCCAGGAAGTCACATGAGTGAAGGCAGTACGCATGGCAGCAGTAGCAGCAGGAACAAACCAAGAACCTTGCAATGAGACCCTGAGGTTTGCGCCTTGGCCAAAGGGGGCGGTGAGGTGGCCTCACGGAAGCCACGGGTGCTGCTCGGCAATACACACGCCCTTTTTCGCCCATGCTCGCAGGCACAGCTTGTTCTTCGAGGCCGGGTTACGTGGGCCTTCACCACAAACCCGAACAGCCGGGTTCAATCACAACGTGAGAGCTGCACTGCAAGCAGCTGCAAGCACTGTCCGCAATGTCCATCACCATCGCGACATGGAGAAGTAGCGCTGCTGCTCGTTCCGTCATGGTCTCATCAAAGAGCAGGCCCTCTCTCAAGCCCTTCAACTCGCAGAAGACCAAAACGTACGAACGGAAGGACTGGAGAAGGTCAACGCTGCGCCGTGGGAACTGGGCTCCTGCGCTCCTTCTACAATTCCGGTATCTTCGCGCGAGGGTTCAACAGTTGATGCAGAAGATATTTTGCATCATCGAAGCCCTGCTCTGCCAAGTCTCGCAGGACCTCTTCTGCACGGTAAAGGGTGAACGCGTTTATCTGAACACCGCGCTGGTGCAGCTTCACGAACTGTGAGAGTGCTGCTTTGGATTCAATGCGGATCAGCCAGGGAGCTACGGCCTCCCAGTTACCTTCCCGGGCCAAGGGCTCGATAAACTTCTTCATTGCCATCTCGTGGCCCATCCGGGCAGCGCGTTCCAAGTGCAAGCGGGCCTTCGCTTCATCTTGGCTGCGCTTCGGAGTTCTGTCGGAGTAGAGCAAGTAACTCTGGTACATGGCCTCTTTGGTGAAGTCAGCAGCCCGTTCGAACCAATCCGTAGCGAGATCTAGATCCCTGGGAAGACCTCCGGTTCCGTTTTGATATCCGCTTGCCAGCTGTCCCATTGCATTGGGCTCGCCAGCTATGGCACCCTGCCGGAATAACTGCATGGCCCCACTTATATTGCCTCGACGCCTCTCTACCAGGCCCAGATAATAGCAGGAGTCTATCTCACCGCCTTGGCGAGACTGCTCGTACCAGTAGGAGGCCTGCTCGTGGTTTGGCTTGCCTTGGAGACCATCCTCGATTGCCTTCCCGAAGTAAAGCTGGGCACGAGGGAATCCGCTAATGGCCGCTGTCTGTAGCCAGGTCCAAGACTCTTCGGGTGTGGCCGCACGCATTGCACGAAGCGTTTGGGCGACGGGGTCGCCTCCCTCTGCCTCTTTTTTCCACCAGTCGGCCGACTGTGAGCTGCAGTCGCTGGAGTCCTGGAACCACATGGCCCAACTCCACCGCTCTCCTGCCTTGACATGCACTCCGTGAAGAAGATCAGACTGATGTACGACGGTGTCGCCTTGCTGCAGAGGAATGAAAGACTTCTCACCGTTTCCAGTCGTGACAAAAAAACCTCCGTGAAAGTCGCGGCCCGATGAATCCAGGCTGACGACCACAGAGACATACGAGGGAATATCCCAGTGTGTGTCGTGCGTACGGCGCTCATGCAGCAAGTAGCGGCGGATCATCGAATGGCACACAGCCCCCGCATTAGGGTAGCGCTTCCAAACGAAGGGCTGGATACGGTCTCGGATGATTGGCTCGGTGATGTCTCGCAGGCGCTGGCGCAAGGACTCCCTCACAGGATCGTGTGCCTTGCGTGCACCAGCGCTGGAAATGATGAACTCGTAGGTCACCATTTTGTCGACCCCATCGATATCCTCATCAAAATCATTCGGGGAATCAACCAACAGCTGCTTCATGGCCACAGCTTCATCACTTGTGACCAAGGATGGGAGCAAGTGGAAGTTAGCTCTCCAAGTTGAGACAGGCCACTTCACCGAACCACTCACCACGGTGCCAAGCCATGTCTCGCGTCTCCAGAAGCCGGGATGCAACTTGGCAGTTTCGCTCTGCGCAAGCACAAAGCTGGAGAAGCTCGCATTTTGCATCCACTTGTGGACAGCATGGCGCTCGTCGATGCGTGCATCCCGGGTCCTTTCTGTGACGCAGCCCAGAAGGCCGAAGAGGGCAAACGGTCCCAACAGGCCAAGGACAGCTTTGAGGAACGCAGCCATGTCTGCGGAAGAAAAACCAATCACAGGATGCCCTTTAGCAAAAGAGAAGAAGCCGGAAAGCTGCTGCTGTCCCAGATGCCGTGGCGGCACAAGCGTGTGCTGGGCCTGAAGTTGTTGTCATTACGTTGGTCGTCTGTTCACTCTCCTTCTGTCAAAGAACCCACAAACCGGCACAGTCAAAAAGCTGCTGACACGCATCGAGACTGCATCCACAATCCATGGCTTGCTTTCGTTGTTCGAACTTCCACGGAATGGCTAGCAGCTGGCTAGCAGGTACCCTCACATCAACATATGTGTCGTTCTGAATCTGCAAAGCGCATTCAACACCCGATGAAGTAGAGAGCTCTTGTCCCAAGCACCCCTATGAAGACTCGGCATGATTTCGTTCGCCTGTGGGGATCGCACAACGTCCTGCTTGGAAGGAGAGGCCGGGTTCGGCGAAGAAGCACCTTGGTTCAGCAGCAAATGGCAGACGGAAACCAGACAGAGGCGCGTGCAACTCGCCCGAAGGCAATTAGAACCCCGAATGACTCCGAGGAGTGAGCTTCTGCCCACGGGCATGCTCTGCACGGCGACGCTGCGTGGGTCCACTCCGGGACTGGAAGAATTGGGAGCCGGCCTCAAGGTACTTAGCGTATTCCGACCGAGTGGCTTCGACAAAGCCTGGCCTCGATGCCCAGCGAGTCATCGGAAGGTCCGCAACCTGGCAACAGCCCAACCAGCAATCCGAATGCACGGTTCTCAGGGGTCGTGGCCTCCTCTTCCTCAGCCACCACCGCCTGGTGAAGGATCCTGTCTTGCAAAGCTCATGCTCCACATAGTTACGGGCACCCTCAAGTCTACAGGCCTCTGTTTCGTCAGCGGCGACGCTTCCACACAGGCCTACTGCGAACACTTCGAAGAGCGAAAGAAAAAAGAGAGCCGGCAAAATAGAGTCCAAGAGCGGCCTTGCGCTCGTGAAGGGTCACACAGGACTGGCTTCCTGGCGACAGCCAAGGCATATCTTCGACGCGGGACCCTTCACGATGAACATTCGGACAGGCTGTAATCCTACCTCCTTGAGTTGCACAAGAATCCATACCTCGCGCTGGCGATACAGTACAGCATCTTACGATGGGAAATGCATCGTGTAGGACGCAGATTGAACCTCAGATGCTATTCTGCGTATTGCCGATTTTGATTTAACTTCTACACCTTGTACATGGTAAACGGTAAACTTAGTTAGGGGTAAATTTAGCCAAAGGTAGGCTCATGCACACCGTGCTGTACCACAATATATCGTGCTGCTTGGGGTTGCACTGTAGAATGGTACACCATGAAAACGCTAGCAAACACGAAGTCTCGAAGCTGTGAAATAAAAATCATGGGATGTGACACACTATGCTGAACACTGTCTGCACCTTAGACTTTTGTAAATGAATATTGTATATTTTCGAATTGTCTAAGAATCGGCATTGTATGGTCGTTTTCATTGTGGCATGCAACACTCAATTATGCTGTCGAACAGTGTGGTATTGAACTATCCTACATCATGCTGAAATAGAAAGCATTTATGCTCCGATACTTGCAGCATGTAAAACTACAGGGAGTCTGAGTGCATACACCTATAGAACAGAACAAAGCAGAGTTTGCTGTGCAGATTGTGAAGATGCAAGAATGCCATTTGGCCTAAACGCGTAATTAGGCCATTGACCGTTGCTGTACGAAGCAGCCACAGGCCCAATCGAAAACTCGCTGGAGCCACTGGCTAGCAAGCCCGCCGCGTGCGTGATGTCCTGGAGGGACAGGGTGTCAAAGTGCAAAGTGGACCCCGCGCTACCAGTACTCACCCAAGCTCACTACTCTCGCCCAATCCTTTGGCAGAGGCGGGGCAGTGCCCGCTGCTGGGGAGCAGAGCGACTCGTCCTTGGTTGCATTGTGGCTTGAGGTTGAACTTCCGAGCTTTGTCCATGTGAGCCATCATAGCACACAAACGATCACTACACTCAGACTTGTGCCCCTTGCAATGGGGATTTGACTCAGCGATTCAACCGTTGCTTCGCGGCCGTGGCACAGAAGAATGCACCGAAGGCGTGCCACTGAGGTTGGTGGCCTTGGTAAAAACATGGGTGGCTACCGCTTATAGCGCTGTTTCCGGGCCAAAGCAATGCTTCGCCTATTTCCCTCTCGATTTCACTGCTGCGGTCACAGATAGTGAGTGGCCGTGGATACGAATTGCACACATCCGGGTCCCGAAACCGCAGAATCGATGTCAACACCGTTCTTGGCAGCGCCCAAATGCAACCTCACGAAGGAACCGCGGCTGCGTGGAGCCACTGTTTCTACGCTTGCTGCCGGACATCGGCGACGTTTGTCAGGTGCACTGTAAGCTCGTGAGGGGAGGGCGACATCTGCTAGAATGAGTCCTACTGTACTGGTGATGGGGCTGCAATTCGGACGTTGCATCACGCCAACAAGGTGAATATCAGGTTAAGCTGCCAAACTACAGCGCTTCTCCAAGGCATTCGAGAAAGCCCTGCTGCAATCGGTTCTCCTTACTCGTCAATGGTGGGCCCCTCAACGGGCCTGGGAACCACTGGCGGTGCAGCAGGACGCCCGACTGGCACGGCGCTTAACCCAACCTGGCGAACGAGCCGCCCCGTCGAGGAACATGCGATGCACACCGCCCCAACCGTGCGATACCGAGAATAAGGCACCATACTGAAAACCTGAGAAAGGACCCTGCTGAAGCTTTCTTGCTGCCTCCACGTCCTTGAGCATAACCATCTGCACGAGAGCGGCAGCACCAACATGTTCTGTTCGCAAAGGTTTAGGACTTATATAGGACTGCCCAACTCTAGTCTCCATGGTCTCCACCTTCTCTGGCGAGGGTGGAAACATCTCCGGCGGCCGCGAAGGAGGAGTTGGCAACACGGGCGCTGGCCTCGGAGGCAGCCTAGCAAAAAACCTGGTCTCTATCACTTGCAGCCGTGAAGGGGCTCTGAGGGGGCAAAGTACTGCGACAACGAAAGGCCGAAGAATGTTTCGCTGATTCCCTGAGGAACAGGCTCTCCAGCACCGTGAAAGGCCACACGCAGGTTTTCATAGGTGCTTGTCTGACAAGCAGGTTTCGCAAAGTTTTGTTCGAAACAAGATACTGCTAGCTGCAAGAAGGCCTTCAGCTCCAAGAACTCGAACTGCTGCAGCAGGTCCCGGCCTTGAAAGCTTGTCGTTCCGGATCACTGGGTGTTTGCTTTCTCCTCTCTCCCTCCATACTTTCTCCAGCCCGCACTGGAGTCATGCTCCCTGCACTCGGTCTGCATCGTGCGATTTGCACGTTGTTCTGTCTCTGCTTCTTCTCCCGTGCTTGTTTCCCCAGTTCTGTGCTGCAATTGCATGCTAAAGTGTGCACCCTTCCCGTTCGACGACATGCACAAAGACAACCCCTAGTCCTGCCGATGGCAGACAAACACCTAGAATCAACACAAACCGCTGTCATGTCAGCAAAAGCCGGATTCTTGCTATGCATATACATATACATATATTGACATGTGTATATATATATATTATACATATATTGTTGTTTAAGTATGTACATAATAACTGCTGTGTTGATTTAGTTACTTACTTTAGGAAGTTGGTAATGTAGCGACGTTCATATTTCTTTGCTGGTTTGTTTATTTAGTTAGCTAGCTAGCTAGCTAGCTAGCTAGTTCGTTGGTTGATGACTTGTTTATATATGAGTAGTTTTGACTTATTTCTCTATGCATCTTCAGAGCCAAATGAATAGCTTCTGCCACGCTTTCCCAGCTTCGGTGGAGGTAGAGGTCCAACACTCTCTGAGACTCTGCTGCTCTAGCCGAACATGCAGACATCATACCTATCTACATAGATATGTACATATGTATGTATCTCTCTTTATATTTACACATGGAATTGTGCAGGCGAATCTATATTATGTAGGGCACGCGACCTCCTGAGGACGCCGAGTGCGCTGTACATTTAAAGTAAGCTCGTCCAACGTATCAATGTTGATCAAGTTTGCACTCAGCAGCTTTTCAAAAGGTGCTTTCAGCCAATCTTTGGGCAAAGCCTGCGCTAAGTGCTCTGGACATTGATCCGGTGACTCATGTCCAGTCCTGCAGGGATCGTTGCGAGGCTTGGCAGCTCAAGCTGTGACAAACATGCTCATTCCAATTTAATACAGGCAAGGACTGGATTGACGGGGCCCGCTTGTTCAGAATCCTGTAGGGCCGTCCCCAAGGGTGAAGAAGCGAACAGCACCGTCCATCGCAGCCGTGCAGAGCAGGCCATCAGCACCTGAGCAATGTCTTGACACGGGCCGTTGCTGCTTCCGCTCTCTCTGCCAATTCCCTTCAGGAGACCAGACCGGCAAATCTCCACACACTAGGGGATGAGCTGCTGCAAAGACTCGCATTGCGGCATAATTCACGTGGACTCCATGCTCGAAACAGCGAATCATCTCGCCGGACTCAACCTGCTGACGTCTGCCAATGCCACATTCAGTTGCGCAGACTGTTTTTAGGAAGGCCCCCGAAAGAACCATATAGATATGTGAGTCACAATGAGAAATCCTGATCTGAGGCACGTCGTAGACGAGGGCGTGATCACCGGACACAGCGCAGACTCTGTCCTCAGCTGGAAACGACCGTAATCCCGCATGCTTTGGTTCCTCCGGCTTTCGTGCTGCCGAGTGACACCAGCAGGAGAGAACCTGTCGGCAGCTGGAAATGAAACGGTGGTTGCCATTATGTAGTGGCCAGGGCCAGGGTGCCCTTAGCCCCCGGCCTGGTGGAGACGGTCAGAGCATCTTGCTCAATGGCCATCTCACAGCGCCCAGTCACCGCCTCGATGATCTGGGTCTGGTCTTCTTTGCGAGTCGTGCTCGCACAGATGAGCCTTCACGGAAGCACCACAAAGCGACACAATGCTTTGTCTCTGCATTCAGAGTGTGGTAAGCGGATTCAGCTACAGGCTCCGACTAAATTCCTGCAAAATAAAATCAGAAACTTTGAAAACTCTGGAATACTCGAACCAACGGATGTGTTCTCCTCGGCAGCAAGAAAGCAAGAGAACTTTTCACAGAAAACAAGAAGAGATGGGACACCGCCGACTGTCTCACTGCTCACGTCAAGGAGAAGCACTACATAGCCCCTTCTGCTATGGACTACGAGTCTACGAGGCTCCTGGAGTCCGGGCTGAAGTCCACAGAAGTCACAAGGCCGCTGAACTTCTTCTTTGAAACCTTCAGCTGAGGCAAGGGAAACCCACATGAAGCAGTTCCCTTCTCAGATGGTGTCAGTCTTGGACCAGCTTGGCTTCGGGAGCCGTGACGTCAAAGATGCGGATGCACTTGTCTGCCGAGCCTCGGCTGCAAGAAAGAACATGCAACCCTCTAGGGAGCAGGCCGCCCTGCCCTGCACTTCACAGGAGCCTGTGGCGAGTAATGCGCCATCCGGGCTGTAGCGGACAGAAACGACCCAGCTGTCATGCTTGAGCTTGGCCACCTCATGCACGATTGCATGGCAAGGCCCAAGGCTGTACACATCTCCCACAACCTTCCCAACAACCGCCCCGCCTCATCTCCTTCGTTCAAATCAAAGATCCTCACGAAAGCGTCGCCAGAGGCCGTTGCAACGGACTGCCCATCCGGGCTGAAGCTCGCGCATTTCGCAGGCAGCCCATGGCCAAACATCTCCAACAGCTTCCAAGTCTTGCAGTCGTAGACTCTAACGGATCGATCGTCCGAAGCTGTGCACAGCATCGACCCATCACAACTAAAATCGGACCACCAAATCGTGGTCCCGTGGTCGACCTCCTGAGGCAAATGCGTCACACAGAGAGCTCCTACCCCTACCTCCAGCCATCTCCAGCCCAACGTCGGGCATTCACAGCTTCTGGAGAGATCTCTGTCCTTGACCATGCGACCCGTCTCCAGCTCGTACACCCGTGCTGTCCCATCCTCACCACACCATGTATCAGCAAAAACCGGCGCGCCTGGGTCGCTCTGGCAAGGCCTCTGAGGACGTGCACAGCAGTTGTCCACCGGAGCTGAAGTTCACTGAGCGCACCTTGGCTTGCGAGCCGCATGATGCGAGCCGGACATTTGCCGCATCTTTGCTCTCACATATCATACATATCTGTCGAAGGAACGCAAGAGGATACCAACATGGAAGGTGGCTGTAGACGTGTGTTGATTGCAATTCAGCAAAGATGCTGGTCGCTTATGCAGAAAACAGGCGCTGTCCTAAGTTTTCACAGGAAGAGCCATCACTGCATGGTTGTTGCAAGACGTGTACAACCTCCGGTGGGCAGCTGCAAAACCTGGCAGGCAAGTTGCCGCGGAAGTCGCAACCCTTCTGGACCAGCCATGGTCATCGAGAAGGCGCTTCGAGGCTTCAAATGACTTCTGCAAGCAGAGCAAACACCTGGCACATGATATGCACGCAGAGTTTCTCTCTCCTAAAATCCAGCCAGCAAAGAGCTTGACAAAGATTGCACTCAGTTTCGTCCCGTACCCTTCCTCGAATTGGGCCGTGCTCGTCGACACCATATGCCAGCACAGCTGCGCCACATTGCTGTGTTGATTACGCCTGTGCAGTGTGTCTACTCTAGAATTTGAGCCTCCTTGAATCCTGTGTTTGGAATCTGCTACCAGTCATCATTCGTCGCGCTGAGTGGTAACCTCCATATGTGCAGAGTGGAATCAGTTGTAGCGACACGTCACTGCCGAAACCAAGCTTGCTTTCCCAGACGAGCTTGAGTGACTGTTACAGTACAAAACTGATGTGCGCAACCGAGTCTTCAAAGGAGCCAATGGCTAGCCGGCTGGCTACATCTGCAAGCATCGAACCGGCTCTGGGCAAAGCGACGAGACACAAAAGAACACCGCGGGGCCTTGGGCCTTAGGGAGCTTTGTGTCTTCGTTTCAACACTTCCGAGGCCGTGACTTACCATGGCGATCACTTGCCTAAGGCCTGTCCTCAGCATTGACGGAAGAGAGCAACAGCATTGCTGGAGTCACAGATGCTACAGAGGTGTCTTCAACAGACCAGGTGAGAGGGGCGATGCCCACTGCCGAAGGCTAGTCGTCGTAATCGGCTCTTCGCAGCTCTGGGTTGCCGGCTCCAACTCGCAGGGTCCCTGGTCGGCCGGGCGGTCTCTGCCTTAGCCAAAACAACCAATCGCAGCACCTAATGCCACATGCCGAGCTGTCACAGCGCTATCGGAAAGATCTTCCGGCTCCCAGAGATCTCTGATTCCAATCAGAATTCTAATCTTCCTAAAACTGTGTGAAGCTACAACCAGTCGACGAGCCCTGGGAGATGATCACTTGGACTCTGACCCAGGCGTCGGAGTCGGTCGGTAAGATCATCTAGGACGCGGTGGCTCTGCGACCACTCGGCCAAGAGCTGAAGAAGCCTTGCTCTTGCTGATTTCCGCACAATATTGATTCAAGAGCAGCTAGTGACTAGTGACTCTAGTGACTCTGGTGCCTTAGATTAAAGGGAAAAACTTCAGCTGAGAAGCGAAGTGCGCTTCTCCGACAGCCATGGAAGGTGATTCATAATGCCCTGCTCAGTGGGAACCTGCACATGTACAGCATGGGGTTAGGACGTTGAACTTGCCTTCTGCAAAATAGACTGGTTAGAATCACTAACTATCCATTGTGGCTACCATGTGACGCTTCGCGAAATTGCAAGCTGGACTTATGGATCGTCTACTGCGGATGAATTACACGACCAACCCCGTTATCTGACACACGACGTCGCGGCAATGTATGCTTTAACCATCTTCCCCAAATCGCCTCGGTTGTCTGCGGCAGAGTCGGTGGCTGTGGCTTGGGCTGTGGCGCCGGCTGCACTGGAGCTGTTGGCTGAGGCTGCGCCGTTGGCTGGGCCACAGGCGGTGAAGCCGTAGCCGCAGCCACCACTTGTTGTGGACTCACAGCTCCCTTCCTGATTGAATACAGTGTAACTTCCGAAGGCCTGAATTCTGCACGACTCTCAGCTTCGGCTCATCGCGCAGTCCTTGCTTCGGGTGATTTGGTCGTCACCTCAAAGACGAGCGCTTCGCCTGGTCATGTCTGAGCTCCCATGTCTTGTGCCCACCACCTTCCCTTCACGAGCCTGGAAGGCTGGGAGCACTGGTACTCCGAATGGGCGTCGGCACCTGGGGCTTCGTCCGAGCTAAGCCGAATCGCCCTAGCAGCTAGGCTGCCTTTCTGCGCAGTGCCACAACGGCTCGCCGGGGCTCCGGCAGACAGGAGCGCGCTGCCCCCAGCAGAGACCGCCGCTCCCGGTGCACCTTTACATGGGAAGCCGAAAGAGCTACACGGACCTCAACCTCAGAGGCATCGTCGTGACAAATACAAGCAGCAAAAAGGCGTGATACCAACGGTGGACAAGGCAGCTCCCTTTAAGCATCTAGAGCGGAATCAGACATGCCGGACGCAGAACAAAGCATTGAAAAGCAACTCTTTGGCCTTGGCCTTCACCTCCACGGCGTGATCGCTTACCTGCTGTGATACGGCCTGCTACGGGAAGCAGTGCAGCAAAAGACTGGACAGTCAGACCGCAAGCAGGACAGTCCATGTGGCCTTGCTGGCGCGGCACATGGTTTGCAGTACCTCAGCTTGACATACTGCGAACGAAGCCGAGAGTTTTCCGAATATACACTACGTTAGCTGCCTTCGGGACTGCATGTCAACAGACCTTTGCGAGCGAAACACGATTGCTGTCGACCAAGTCTCCGACCAGGTCGGTGGTATCCATTGCTAATGTAGCTTGGCGAGGTGATGTTTTGCGCATTGCCTTGCCAGTCTCACACTTTGTCAATCGAAGAAACAGCACGGCGAGTCTAAAGTGCTCTGCAGCAGCCTGTACCAAATGCAAACATGCAATGTTCTTGCAGCCACAAGAGGACATCTGTTACTCCTCACCGAAGCGCAAGCCGACTGGACTGCGACCGGGAGGCTGCCAACACGGTTCCGGATCAGCATCCTGGCGTGCATGGTAAGCAACAGTGCCGGCAACGACGAAGCGGTGTTAGAATTCTTTATATACAGCACGGCGCACCCGGGGGCTGCCACCCGACAGTCTCGAAGGGGAGATCGGGCTGCGGCCTTGGAGAACTGCCCTCACACGGAAGTGCCAAGCTGGAAAACCCACGGCAGTGCATAGCCGTGCAACTTCTTCCAAAAAGCTGTGCGCAGAACAGAAGTGGTAGCAGCCGGTCGAGCGTGTCCTGGCTGTTCCGAACAGGTGCATGGCATTCCTGAGAGCCACCGACACATGCTACCAGTAGAGATGTCCAGGATGTTTTTATTTGCACCATCTGCCTCGGTGCTGGCCTCGCGCCACAGCACCCTGGAGGACAGCGTGGATTCGCGCTGTTGGGGACAGGGTGTTGCAACAGGCAGCGGAATTCTGTTAGTCAAACATATGCATCGTCGACCCGCACATGGAGGTAGACACAGCGCGGCCTCCATCGTCATGGTCCAAGCTGAGCGCTCACGCTGCACGCGCTCCAGCTCGTCAACAAACAGAGTAAACACTGACGATGTCTCAGTGCTCTCCATAATGACAAACTCTGTGATGTGACAACATCAGCACGTACACCCAAATTGTGTGTGCAGAATCATTCCAAGATGCTCTCGAGCCTGCGCTCTGCACGAGATTGAAGCGGATATGCGTTCCATGGAACGAAGTGGTTGCTTGACACTGCGGAATGTTCAGGCAGGCGGAGCCTGCCAAACTTGTTGCTGGGCCCTTCTGGGGCTGCATTGCTACTGGACAAAGCCACGCAATCCCTTAACTCATCTAGCTATGCGAACTTGATTTTCTTCCTTTATGGGGAGAACGGTTTTGCCCCTCAGCAGCAACCACTTCTTGCGTGTGCCACGGACACTATGGCTGCCTCGCTGTGACAGATGCTGCTTTCTGTCGGGCTGTTCGGCGGTAATTTCAAGAAGGAAACATTTCAGTGCCGGCCTAAACCCCGGTTTTGGAGCATCACCATAAGACCACACCAACACAAGCATCAAGCATCACCAAAGCCCCGACAAAGAACCAGCAAAGTCGCGAAAACACCCTTGCACTTCAATTACCATGTCTGCACATGTTCAGAAGATCATGGCGGCTGCGTTGCGGCGGGGCAACAGGTGTGCGCGTGTGTTATGCGTGCCCCACGTTTCCAAAAGGACCAGCCATGAATGAAAGCTGCGGCATTATGGCAGAGAATTCTAATGGACTGGATGTAAGACTATAAGGATTTCTTTTCTGAGAGAAGACAATGTCTCTTGGAAGATCAAAAATGGCGCGCAATTGCACACTTGTGTATGAAATCATTTAGTAGCAAGGCAACACAAATTGGTCTATGATCATGGTATTCTTGGATCTTAACAGAGCCAATGAAGGCCAGTTGAAATTGCTGATTCGAAGGTCTGGATGAAGAGTTGAACGGCGCCACCATGTGTTGGTAAAGGCAGCAAAGGCGGCCAAGACAGATTTCGTCTTGTTTCGCTTGCCAGCATACACACTCAGTCCCGCTCTGAGCCTGATGTGGAACGGCTTTACAGATCACAGCACGACTGGCATCACCTGGCAAGGCCAGAATTGCCAAGACTGAGGGCAAGGTCTTTTCAGGTCGTGTTGCGGATGTTACGCGATGGCAAGGCCGTCCTTTCAACTTCTAAGTCCAGGTCAAGCGAAACAAAAGACAAAGAAGAACAGAGACAAGAACGAAAAAAATAGAAAGAGACAAATGAAGATCAAAAAGAAGAAAAGAAACAGTAGATATGATACTGTGGAGGCCCTTTGTGCAAGGGCACATTTTCTACGGGTTTTTCCGGGCTCGTTAATGAACCCGCCAAACCGTCAAAAACTGTGGGCCACTCCATCGAGACGATGTCAACAGGAGTTGCATTTT